TTTTTTAGATTTCATGGACTAAAATTAGCCACTAAATGACAATTAGTAAATGTAAATACTGTCTCGCGCTATGCACGCGCCACCACCACCGAATTGACCAATAAGGGCCGCGCTTGTTTTGATTTGGTCCTAAAAAAAAGTAACTACATAATATGTAATAATAATAATAATATATTATAATATATGTTGTTGATTTTTCAAAAAGCTACCAAAAGTGCTTTTTTCATGATTTTTTAAATTCATGTAGAGTATGGAATTTTTTTTTTCAAAAAAACAATAGCAAATTTTTGTAGAACATTTATTCATTGGTGGTAAAGTCAGAACATTCCGTGGACCAGAAAGCCAAAAAAAAATCGTTTTTTTTATTACGGTATTTGTTAGGATTGAGCGTTGCACATTTTTCATATAAAAATCTCAAAACTAGAAACTTTAAGCTTCAAATTGCTTTTTTTACGGCTCAAATACGACCATTTTTAACAAAGATACAGGTATCCGAAGAATCGCAAAACAATTTTTTTATGCTTTAATTTTTTGTATTGGTGTAGAAGTTTTACATTGCTACTGGTTTCTAATGTGGAAACTACAAAATAATAAGAAATCAAATTTTTTAGTCTTGGTCAAAATTTTCAATAATGAAAAATTTAATATATTCTACATTTCACTTTATTATTAATATATATTTTACTCAAAATTTCATTTTGAAAAAAAAACAAAAAAAAAACCGTTTTTTTCTAGTTTTTTTTTCATGTTTTTTTTTCACATCTGAAAAAAAACCGTTTTTTTACATCTCTATATACAGGGTTGGGCAAAAGTATGGAATAATGGAAATAATTTTTTTCTGCTCAGGTCCTGCAAAAAACGCTAAGACATGTCAAATTTAGTTTTTTCCAAGGACTATTTTAACATTTTTTTTTATTTTTTTACCCCTCCCCATTTTACAGAATGACGTGACTGTCAATTTTTTTAAATGGCAACCCCCAATTATTTTTTCAGAAATGGAGAGACCATCAATTTCTGATTTTAAAAATATGCATATTCAGTATGTTTGGACTTATAAATACATTTTAAAATAATAATATTTTTCATCGACAAGAATCGGTGTGTTTTTAACAAGTTGATAGAAATGTGTAGTATTTTTAATTACCGGAGAGTGCCTATATGCATTAAAGTGCTGAAATTTGTTTTATTCTAACTGAGGCAATCACATTGTGAATTTTTAAAACCAAACTTTATTTTGCTACATAACCAATATTTTTATTTATAGAAACAACATCTATTAGGAAAATAATTTAAACGGTAAATGTTTAGCCCCTTAAATGCTCAAAATGTCTACCATTATTTTGACTACATAATTGCAATCTCTCTATAAAAGACCGCCTCACATTTCCAAATACTTCATTTCCTACTTCTCTCATTGCTGCCGTGATTCTAGCTCTCAGATCGTCTAAGTTATTTGGCCGTTCCTTGTACACTTTGTCTTTAATATGACCCCAAAGAAAAAAATCACAGGGGGTTAAGTCAGGTGACCTTGGTGGTCACTTTATCTGTCCTCCACGTCCAATCCACCTTTCCGAAAATACTTCGTCCAAATATTCTCTCACTACTCGTCCAAAATGAGGGGGTGCCCCATCCTGTTGAAACCATATAGTAGGGACAACGTTATCAGTTAATAGAGCCAAATATCTCACCATCGTTAAATTGCCTTCTATGAAGAAAGGTCCGATAATTTAATTTCCAATCAGTGGCGTATTTAGGATTTAGCTCCGGGGGGGGGGTCCAAAAAAACTAATAATAATAATAATTAATAACTAAAAAATCACAAATTAGGAACTCTTCTGATCCGATAAAATAGAAAATAAAAGGAACTTTCCAAAAAAGGAATATTCTTGTTTTGATTAAATTAAAAATTCCAATCGCCGTGGATTCTTCTTGTTCGCGCCTCGATCATAACGACATGAGAAAGAGGTAGGAACGATATACCTACAGGGTTGCCAAACTACCTCTTCCTCTTTAATTCGTAAGTAGTTGATTTTTGATTTTAATGATTTTATATTTAAATATAATTAATAAATAATAAAGTACGTTGACAGTCTTGAGGTTTTTATTTTTTTAAAACCTTTTTTTGTAATAAAAATAATAAAATATGTGCGCCCGGGGGGGGTCCGGACCCGGCGGACCCCCCCCTAAATACGCCACTGTTTCCAATTATGCCTGCCCAGACATTAACTTTTTGAGGTCGTTGGGTGCGAAATTCGATCATCCAGTGAGGGTTTTGCTGGGACCAGTATCGACAGTTATGTCTATTGACAGCTCCGTTTAGCATAAAGGTATCCTCATCAGAAAACAAAATTTTATTTAAAAAGTTTTGATTTTCCTGCCACATGCGCTGCATAACTTCGCAAAATTGTAGCCTTCTATTAAAGTCATTTTCAGTCAATTCTTGTGACAAGTGGACTTTGTAAGGGTGAAATTTTTCTTTTTTTAAAATTCTACCAACTGACCTTGTTGAAATATTATGGTTTCGTGCAAGGTCGCTGGTGGATGTTCTTGGAGCATTTTCTATTTCTAACAAAACATTCAATGCCAAATTTTCGTTGGTGGCTGTTTTGGGTCGGCCTGATTTTTTTGCGTTTTGCACACTTCGGTTTGGTCTATATTTCTTAATTACTTTGGATATACAAGATTGCGAAATCGGGGCATGGTTGGGATAGGCTTCATTAAATAAGCGGCATACTTCTTGCTGCGTTAACGCAGAGAATTCTCTTCCGGTCTCCAAATCCAACCATAGTTAGGATATCAGTCCTTTCTTTTTCAGTCAATTGCACCATTTTTCCTTTGACTTTCAAGTAAATCTGAATTTTAAAAAACTTTTTTGTAAAGAACTGAAGCACTGCTTCTTTCAAAATAGCGAAAAATTGACAGTTCTGATGTATTTCAACTTGGTTACCAGCCTGTTTTGTTTTTGTCAAAGACAACTGCGATTTTTTGTGTAAAATTAAAATAAATTTACTTGTCCTATTTTTTCAACTTAAAAAGTTATTATTTTAAAAACTATAAGTCCAATCAGACTTAATATACATATTTTTGAAACCAGAATTTAATGGTCTATCCATTTCTGTAAAAAAAATTGGGGGTTGCCATTTAAATAAACTGACAGTTACGTCATTCTGTAAAAAAGGAAAAAGGTATAAATATGAAAAAAATGTCAAAAAAATCCTTGGAAAAAACTAAATTTGACGTATCCGAGCGTTTTTTGCAGGACCTGACCAGGAAAAAATTATTTCCATTATTCCATACTTTTGCCCAACCCTGTATAGGTAACTAAACTAAATATGCCTAACAGGAATATTCCTAAATTAACTTTCTATAGCAATTACTTTCTTAACATTCTAAGCATATGTTTAGAGTAGACTAATTTTTACCACTAAAACTTTGCACCTTCTAAGAACCTGCCTATAGGCCAGTAAGAATATTCTTAATATTTCTTTTAAGCATGTTCTTTAGAAGAAATATAGCATGATCCTAAGAATATTCTCATTGGAAGGTTTAAAAAACATTCTTAGAATAATGTGTGCTATCAGGGGCAACATTTAATATGATCATTAGAACTTTCATGTCGGCTTAAGGTTCGCGATAAATGTTGCCAATCTCGAAATGCATCTAGCCCCAAAGAACTAGATTCCAAATAACTTACATGGGAAACAAAACCCAGAGTATATTTTATTAGAATATCCAAGTGCGTTGAAAGGATTCACCATTTGGTAAAGTTTTTAAAAAATATTTATTTCAATAACTTCTAGTGCTAGCGTCTTTGGGATAAGTTGTTTTCTTATTTAGTAGCCTTTTCTACTAGCATTAACCTTATTTTGTCAGATAAAGGTGTAGACCATGCATGGTGCCTGCACTGCACTTGATCAGAATTAATTACAATATTAAAAAGTTTACCGTCACTTTCTGTACAAATATGTTCTAAAATGCCGCCCCTCGATAGTTGCCGCCCGGGCGCAGTGCACCCTTTGCACCCTGGGTTGGCTCGGCCCTGAACTTACCTTAGATCAAATTAATTCTTATATTTTACATTACCTATGTATTAATATTGTTATTATTATTATTGTCATATTATTGGATTTTTCCGTTGGCTAATAAACTTATTGTTATTATTATTATTATTATTAAAATTTAATTACATTAAATTAAGCTCTTTATCCATCTACTAAAAACCCGAAGACTTATATTAAATTCGGCCAAAGAGTTTAAAATTTTTGAAAATATAAATATTTTTTAATTTATACCTTATACAAGGTTATATATACTTTTCTTCTTATTTTTTTAAGAATCCTAGACCTCAATCTGCTCAATCCCATCTTTATTTATTTGACATACCTACCTACCTATAATTTAATTAATAGGTACCTTCAGATACAATCCACACAACCTGTGTTTTTTTAACCCTGGTATTACATCAATTATACATTATGTATTTAAAAATTTTAAATTTGGCGCCCTTATGCAAAGTTCCGGTCATGATCAGTAACTATTTTTTTTTGCAAAAATTACTTTTTTAAAGCCTAATAAATACTAATAATACTAATTATACTCTTTAAAATGTGTTTTTTATAAAACCCTCTTTTTATTTGTGTTGAACTTAAATTATAAGTTTTGAGTAGCAAGTAGAAACTATCATAAAATCATAAAACCTAAATTACATTAAATAAGTTATTTAAATCATTTCTAAAATAATTTTAAACAATTTTAAACTTAAATAATCATTATTTTATCGTCTTAGTATTTTTTTAAAACAAGTTTAACATTTTTTTAACAATTGCCTATTTTGACTAATTTTCCATATAAGGCCATGGAACGGATCCATCAACCTGATTTGTCAGTTTTGGCTTTATCCCCTCCAAAATACTCCTTATTTAGGGGAAGTTTTCTTTTATCTATAAAATGAGCTCAAGATTTGGCCTCCTCCTCTTTTCTTCAGACCAAGTGACCAGTGTTATTAAGTGATTATTATAAATTTGCGCCATGGGTAAATGTTTTCCAAGCAAAGATGCTGAAGGAGCGTAAGTACAAACCATTTTTACTAATAAAATATAATATAATATTATATACTTATAATTAATCTTTAGTAATGCGCAAGTCGGTTTGTAAATATGGTTAATGGTAATAAATTTAACGCATGCGTTTAAGACTTTATCGTAGGTTGGTTTTGGGTTTTGTGTAAATCATTTTATGTATTTTTTACTGTAGACCAGGTCCCCAAGCAGCAATTTAAGTAGGTATTTGTATTTTTAGCTGCAGTGGCGGACATACCGGTAAGCCTGGTAGTTACTACTGTACTAGGCAGCGTTGCCAACCTTTTCGTTCGAAAAATCCTGAGTTCTCTAGTCAAATATCCGTAGAAATCCGTGGGTAAAGGGTAAAATCCGGACATTTATCCGCAGGCACCGCAGCGACTTAGATGTTACGAATTTTCACTAAAAATTTTGATTGGTATTCAATATTTATCAGCTGTTCAGTTATTTAGCATTGACATTTGGCGCAAGCTGGCGCTTTCTTAGTGGTGCTTGGCGCTTTTAAAATTTACACATTTCATAAATTTATAAACAATGTAATTAGATACTAATAGTGTAATACATGTATAAAAAACTTACTACCAAAACAAATTTAAAACTTTAGTTGCCATTTCTTTCACAGCGTCTTTTTGACAGACAGCACCTTTTCTGGTAACCTGCTGGTAACAAACACAAAATTCCTAAACTAATGAGTGCGTTCCATGAAACGTTCAGTGCAAGGTTTTATACCAGAGATATGCAAGGTTTTATACCTCCATATCTCTGTTTTATACATGCCGTTTAGTGGACGGAGCGAAATAGTTAGAAAATATAAAAAGGGTTTCAAGCAATTTTTTACTTGTCACAGGTTTTAATACATAATTATTTTAAAATATCAAGTAATTATGAATTATGCGATAATGTCCAAATATCCGTAGATTTTCAGACAAAATCCGGTTATCCGTTAATGACCCTTAAAATCCGTAGATCTACGGAAAAATCCGTAGGGTTGGCATCGCTGGTACTAGGCGTACCGGTAAATCCGCCCTTACTGTTCGGGGCCAGGGGCGGTCCCAGCAAATTTTTCAGGCGGTGCGAGATCTCATTGCCTCCTATGTGGAATCGCTTTTTTGTAATCAATCTGTTAAAAGAGACCAACGATAATATATATTTTTTGCATTTTATTAATATTATATACAGGGTGTTTATTTTTTAAAAAACAATGCCTATACGTCTGTACCTAAAATAGATATAACAATTTCTTAAAATCATTTCTAGGATATGTGGGGGGAATCAATAAAATCAAAGAATAATAATAAATTATTTTGCTTATTGGAGTAAGAAAGTATGTGTTTATTCCGTCATCCGGCGATAGAATAATTCTTTTTCTACTCATGTTATGGAATATGACCGTTCTAATATCACTTTTTAATGTGGAATGACATACATATATTCCTTAAAGTATTACAAAATGAATAATTCACCAGTGTTAAATTTATTTCGTCATCCGATGATAAATTATTATTATTTTATCTTCAGATGACGAAATAAACACTGGTGACATCTAGACCGATCCAACCTCACTTTTCCCAATAATTTTTTTTTCTATGGTATTTTTTGGAAACGTAGAAAAAGTATTATCTAAAACACGTTTGGAATTGCATATTCCGCTCTCCATTTATTGATCCCTGTCACTTTATTAAAAGTTTCCACGATATTAACATACAGCCTGTTCAGAGTAAAACCGAATATAGGGAAACGTTTCCCTATATTCGGTTTTACTCTGAACGGGCTGTATAATTTTATTTCTACGGTACCTGAATTATTCTTAAGATTATTAATAATTTTAACCTATTAATTAATATTAATATACAAGTTTATATTTTGTTTTTGACTACCAATAACTACGAATAATAATTAGTATTATATCATTATTCGTAATTAATATTAGTTGAAAACAGAATATGTCCCCGAATGGGATTGCAAAGAGGACAAACATATTTTAAAATTTAATTTCTAATAAAAGGTTTACTTTAATTTTAAACCCCCAGATTCTGGGGCCCAGAATAGGCGACACCAAATTTTGGACTGAATATTTTTTCATAAAAATAATTTTTGGTCCGTTTTTGTTCATTTGTCATTTTTTTTTTTCAACAAACGAATGTTATTATCACGGTAGTTAGAAATCTCGAGAATTCTCCACGGATGTCATTAATTTTTACTTTAAAGTCTAAATCATAAAAAACTCCTTAAAGCTAAATAAAAACTTAAATTTAAAAAAATAATTACGTTGAAGTGGGGGCAAAAATGTCCTTGTCCGCAAAATACCTTGAGCCGGCCCTGTTTTTGGTTAAATTATATTTAGCCAACCCTTTTGTAGTTCAAGCTACAACTGATCATTGCTTAAAGAATACTTCTTCACTCAACGATAAAATTTTGGACAAAAACTCGCTTTGTGTGTCGACAACAGCATTTTTTATAAATAACTACCAATTAAACTTAAAACTTAGTCATAAAAAATGTGATCATAATGGGGCATTTTTTAAATTAATAAAGACTTTAAAAAGGAAAATATGAAAGGTACATAGGTGGTATTAAAAGTCTACTTTTAAATGTTAGTTGAGCTGAGATGCAGGACACTTTTAAAAAGTTTTATATAAGATTAGCCAATTTATTTTAATTCGTTGTTCTTTAAGGGCAATGGCTTTTCGCAGAATTACATTGTTTTGAAGACTTTCCAAGAAATTATTTATTGTTTTGCGCAAATTATTGTCAGTAGCTACTAGGCCCTTCTAACAAGATAATATCCAATTTAAGACGCATTTTTTAAATTAACCTTTGTGAATAATAATTAGTTACCTAAGAATTATATTTAAGGTGAGTTTTTAATCTTTTTGATATTTATATTTCTTTTTATAATGAAATAACCTAAACTTTAGCTTGGTAACGAAAGATCCCACCTGAATTGAATAAGATCGTAAATATAAAGCTGTACTTTTTTTAATTTTAGCATAAATAATTTAAATGATAAGTAAATATGCAAAAATATGTATGTAAATGTACCTACTAGTCAATAAATAATTACAGAATAATAACTTTTAAGTTATTGTTTAAATTATATTTATTAGGTATGTTAATAGAAGATCTTATTTAAATCAGATTTGTTATAATTTACAATCCACATTGGATGGTATATATGATGATCCCAAACGGTCTTACGTTGATCTTTAATTGCGTTGAGCGAGCCTAGGATGTTGATCGAAAATTTTAATCTTTTATACAAAATTTTTTAACAACATAATGAACAAAATTTTTGCTATTAGGGCGTTTCTCTGTAAACTGGGCAACTTGAAGTAAGAAATTGTCTAGGCAAGTTTTTTTGTTTTATTTTTGTTGTATTTAATAAATGTTATTCGAGGAATAAATATCGGTCTATTTATTAGTATACGGCAGATGAACCAAAAATAGTCCTATTACTTTGGAAAACATTGAGCATTTTCTGAAAAACCTATACGGGGGACTGTTTATAAAATCCGGAGACAAAGTTTAGATGACTTTTTTAGAATTACAAAATAATAATTATAAAAAATAAATAAGTCACAGTAACAAGCAAACAATATTAGTTGAATAATTAAACAATTAGATTGATTCCAATAGTTACTGTCTTTAATTAATTTAGTCTGAAGTGACCATTTTGCTTTGGTGACACGTCAGGGGACTGATTTTTAAGGACTATAAAAACGATTTTGATACATTTAAGTTTATTTTATTGGATTTTGAAAGTCGAGCATAGGTAGATTAGGATATTATCTTTTGAAGTTATCTACGAAATATTTATGATCTGTTATTTTTCTTAACAATATTAGCTTGAGACAATGAGTTGCCCAGTTTACAGAGAAACGCCCATTACTAAACGAAATTCTAAAAAAGCGGATTTTCGGCCCACCCTACTATAGTGTATACTAGGGTGCTTCAAAAATTTTTTTTTTCGCTCTTACCCTCTCAAATGTTTTTATTTAATATAAAAAAAATCCTCACCAAATATGGGCGTTCCAGCTCAACTCTAAGAGGTCGCTATTTTTATTTTAGTTTCCCATTGAATTAACATGGGAAAAAATTAATTTATGTTTGGAATTTTATACCTCTGTATCAAAGTAACTTATGGCAATGATCATAGCAGTTTCTTATATAAAATTTAACGCTCTACAAGAAAGGTCTCTTATTATTTTTCGATAAATTGATTTCTTCTAGAGTTATTCGAGGTCAAAGTTTTCCCCCTTTCACCTCCCGTCTGCTAATTGTACCAGAAAATTTAATTTTAATCAAACTTTGACCTCGAATAACTCTAGAAGAAATCAATTTATCGAAAAATAATAGGAGGCCTTTTTTGTAGAGCGTTAAATTTTATACTATAAGAAACTGCTATGATCATTGCCATAAGTTACTTTGATACAGAGGTATAAAATTCCAAACATAAATTAATTTTTTCCCATGTTAATTCAATGGGAAACTAAAATAAAAATAGCGACCTCTTAGAGTTGAGCTGGAACGCCCATATTTGGTGAGGATTTTTTTTATATTAAATAAAAACATTTGAGGGGTAAGAGCGAAAAAAAATTTTTTTTGAAGCACCCTAGTGTATACACAGGGTAACTATTTTTGTGTATTGCAAAAAAATTCTGGATGGGATTTCTGGAATTAGATATGTGGAATTTTTTGTTAAATACCTACCTGATTTTAATATGTACCTATATAAAAACCCTTTTTTCGATTTTCTTAAATTTTCGTGTTTTCGTTTATACATTATACAATAAGGAAAAACAAAAGATGGTGGTGGTAACTCAGAATCTAGTAGGCGAAAAAATAACAAATTGGATAGAAAGGTAAATAAACGTGTATATTTATGTTTACACGTAAAGTTCGCTGAAATAACGACTTTTAAATTATAATTAAAAAAAATCTGCGGTTCTAAAATTATTTTTTGTTTCTTCAATTTTTAAATGCCATTT